TACTGGCCACTGTCAGATATAGGATTTTTTGTCTGACTGAGTGCACCCATCCTTACATTTTTAATCAAATCCAATGGAAATGCCTGACCATGATTAAAACAGATGTGGGAATGGGCTGAGGGTACCTAAGAATTTGGCATGGCAGCTCCTCAAATGAGAATGTGTCATAAGAGTTGATGTATAGCTGGGTGCACCACTGCACCACCAACAAAACAAATGTCCTCCTTGGACTGGGATTTCATAGCTGAGCTTGCACTCTCCTTGCAGACACGATCTTAATGGTGAATGAACTTCAGGGTAGACTGCATTTGATGCAAGATAGCAGTCATTATTCAAGCTGACATTGACAAAATGACAGAGTGGAAAAGTAATGGCACATTCTTTGATACTGCTCTCAGGGTCAGGGTACTCACTGTTGTAGGATGGTTTATCGATCGGGCTTGCCATTTTTAGAGACCAGACGATGTCAGAAGGAAGTTGCAACTGGTGAATAACAAGAATTAAAGGATTTTGCATTGATTCATGGCCTTCATGGAGCATGGACATGTGGGTTTCTTATGGTCTCTGAACAAATGATCTGAAACTTGTGTTCCCCCATATGACAATTCCACGGATAGAAGGTACTCTGATAGCCAGTAACTTTCTTGTTGCCGATCTCATAATTTTATTCCTGTGAGCTTCCAAGAATGTTACGTACAGGGATGGATTTCATTTTGGGGCCCGCAGTGACACAAAAGAGCAGCTCTGATTTCTTAGCTGCATGCGTTCCTCTGAAGAATGAAGGTTTATGCAAAGTCTTGGTGTACAAGGAAAGATGCCAAGCCAAATGTATTTTTAGCTGTTCAGCCAGCTGGGTTTCTTGTGTCTATGAATTCACTGCTTTTCCCCACAAGGATGAACAGAAACACCACTCTTGCAAAAGTTCTCAGTAAAGTATCTGTAAAAATTGGTGAATTCAAAGGTTCTGTGAAGTTCCCAAATTTTTTGGAGCCCACCCAGCAATGGCAGAAGCACTTCAGTTCCATGATTATTCCCTCTGACGAGATGATGTATCTGAGGAGTTGTACTTTAGTGAACTTTTAATGTTTTAAGTACAGTCTGTTTTCTCAAGCATCAGCTAGAGAGGACTAGCACTGTCCATGCAGCCAGCCAGGAATGAGCTTGATGCATCCACGTAGATATTACGGATGTAAGGCATCAACAAGAACAGGCTGAGCAGCATTGTAAATACTCAAATCTGTGCTACATAGTCTAAAACCGTCTAGTCAACACCTTCATAAACACACACCAAGCTGCAAGCTCTATTTAAGCCCAACTCCATAAACATCCTGGCACTCTGTGTCCTTTTCAACAGTTCATTGATTAAAGACAGATGACATTTGGTTTTGATCATTATTTATTTTTCACAGTTTGATGTAGTCAACAACAAGGCATAAAGACCCATCCTTTTTTAACAAACACAATGGAGGCATAGAGGGAGATATATGAGTGAATGAAATTCTTTGTTAGGCTTTTTTTAAGGTATTCCTGTGGAGCCTGAAATCTATTCTGGAGAAGCAGTAAATTACTTCAACTGAGGTGCTGCCTTCGAGATTTTAGACATCAAAAGGTTGAGGCTGAGTTACGGTACCAGACAGATTTTATCCAGGTATTTTTCAGAGGTCTGGGGAAGAGGTCCACTAGGGCTTGCTGGACACAGGTGTGGTCAGTGTGACCACATTACTTCCAGTACATCAACAGTGCATACAAAAAAATTACCACTTTGGAGAAAACACGGACAGGATTTCTGCAAAATGCATAGATGATGCACTGCAAGCAACAGCAGGGGAATATGTCATGTTGATTGAATCAAACTGTGTGTTCACAAGGTGAGCTGGGATCAGGACTCAGGGAGCTCACTCCAACACAACCATCAGCAAGGTCAGGAGGGGCCCTGACTCTGCTGGACCAGAAAATGAAGCTCTAGGGTAATCATGAGGTTCCCAGATGTGACAAAGTCACTCAAAAGAAACCATGAGGCACAGCAAGCAGGGCTGATTTTCTGTGTGCATGGGAAAAGCTGGCTTAGCAGAGCTATCAGCTTTCAAGTCTTGCTAAGGCTGGATGTTTTGCACAATTCCTTGGCTGGGCAACCAGTAAAAAAATGGATTTTTCAAATGTGATATAAACAAACCCCAACGAAAACTGTCCTGGGTAGTCCATCCGGTGCCTTTCTTGGTTCCTTCCCATCCTATCCACCAGCACTCATATAAATAAAGGTTCTGTGTGAGGAAAGTAAGTATGATGTGGACAGGAAAAAACTTTATTTTCCCCCTGATTTTGCAGACTTTGCAGAGTTCAAGCAGGGGTATGTACAGGTCTGGAGTGCTGACCACAGCCAACTTAATTCTTTTCCTTATTCTATCAGCTTTGGCAGAAACAGACCGAGGCAGGTCAGCCCACTCCTGGTCAAACATAGTGCGCAGCAGATCAAAGCAGGACAGACACTGCCTGTTGCTTGCCAAGAGAGCCAGGTGGCAGAAAGCTTCTCACATGTCAGGAGGCACTAGGAAAAGTTCAGGAAACGCTAATATACAGCTGAAGTCTTCGTGGAGATCTCAGGCTGAAGCTTTCAGAAGGTCACTGCACCTTCAAGCACAGCTGCTGAGGAGTCAGGGTGCATGCAGCTGGGTGGGACACAGGGATACAGGGCTGACCAGAGATGTGCGTGTTTTCCTGGTGTGGGTCAATGCAGAGATGACAACCAGGGGCTGGTTAGGAGCAGAGGCAAGATGGCAAGACAGAAATATGAGTCCTTGTACCCATAATAATCAGCTTTGTCTTTCTCCAAATGACAAACAAGTGTTTAAAGAGAAACTCATCCTCTTCCCTGGGTGGCTTTGGTGGTCTGGAATAGACTCCAGGAATTGCTTCCAGTCAGCCGTCTGTTCCTACACTCATCTTGTGAGTAGTTGATGCCCCAGATCTTAGAGGAATTTAAATGGAAAAAGGGCAAAAAGGCTAATCCAGGGAGGGAGCCGGGAAGACATTTAGAAGCAGGAACATAGTAATGCAAAATCACTCTTCCCAACAACACTTTTAGTCTCCTCCCTAGGACCAAGGATTAAATGGAACAGAGAGCTGTTGTGATTTGGCTTCTGTTCTTCACATGTTGAATTTTATTTTCCTATTTCATTTTTTATTGTCTTTTTTTTTTTTTTCATTTGGGAAGTGACCCAAGAAACTATGTTTCCCACATAGCCATTTCAAAGGAAATTTGATGCTGCAACAAGGACCCTGGGGGAAACACTTTGGGAAAATAGCACCAGCTCTGTCCTTCCTTTCTTTTTTTTCTTAGGAAAAAAAAAGAAAAAAAGAAAGAAGGGGAAAGGGAGAGGAGCCCTCAGTGTATGGAGACATGAAGCTGTGGAGATTGTGTTTCAGAAAAGCAGGCAACGTGGCTGCTTCCTCCTGCTTTTTGAGCCAAGGACTCTCAGCCTCTGCTCAGTCACAGAAATATCTCACTCTTCAAAGCCTATACTTTTATATTCTCTTTTTTATTTTATCCCTTTACCTTCTTGCCCCCACTGGAAGGCTCCATAAAACCTCTCCTGACTTGTCTCAACATACCACAAAAGCTTCTGCCCATTTAAAGATGGAGATGTTATTCCTTCTAGTCTTCCCCAGGAGACAAAAATTTTGGTGGGGAAAAACACCATGCTGTGGTCAGGCCCTCCTTGGCAGCCTCCTGGAGGTCCAGAGACTGACCTGTTTATGCCAAGGACTGGCATTTTCAGGTTAGGTAGGCTCATGCACCCTGCACATCTAAGTCTGCCCTCAGAGCAAAGATCTCCATGTTTTCCAGGATCACAGACTGATTGCCCAACACAGCAGTAATGGGGACTGTGAGTACCCTTCAGGGACTGATCTAAACATTCAGTATCCTGAATAAAAGGATTCCCGTCCCCAGACAGCCTCTGCAAAATGATCTCTCCCAGTTGTGCTGAAGTAGGCTGAGCTCAGAGAAAGGAGGGAAGACCCTTTCCCCAGGAATGTGTCCACCTGTTTAACTTGCCTTGGATAACTGAACAAGGGCTTTGATCAAAGCCACTTGGCATGAGTACCTGTCCCGGCCTATGAAATGCAGCTTTGCCCTGCCAGCTTGGAGATACATAATGCTGGAGGCTGGAAGGAGCGCAGTTTGTGAGGGATATCCTTCCTGGATATCCCTGGTTGGATGAGCAGAGAAACAGACACCAAGAGTTTGCATCTGAGCTGCTTGGCCCATGCAGCTGCTGGGCTGTCTGGGCTCAGACAGCTCTGGAGTCACCAGCTCCAGCAGTGGCAGGAGGGTTAGTGGGACTGAGAGGGTCAGTGGGTCTGGAGGCTGCAGGAATGGACTCTTGTCTTACACCCTGCAAGGGGCTGTGACCCAGTGGGTCAAGCAGGACCAGAGAAATGATGGTATTTTACCAGTCCACTTGCTGTCATTCTGCTTTGCGGGGTGGGAACCAGGGTAATGCTGCCCCAGGTTGTACACACGTGCGCTGAAAAATCCAACAGTTGCCAAAATATTAATCTTTGGAATTGTCTACCCCTACACTTAATACTCATGGTAACCCAAAGAGTACTGCTGACTGATATTGCCAGCCTCGGTGGATTTATCGCCTCCACACAATGAAAGCCTTTTCCATCCTTATGCCCCTGGATGCATCTTCTGTGTGCCTTCTGTGAGAGTGTTCCTACCCAAAGGCTGGGAGCTGTCTAGTGGAAAGACATCAGGAATCATCTCCCAGTTCCAGTCCTCACGCTCTTGCACAGTGTGAACTGAGAAGTGCTGCAAAAAGAACGTTTTTGTGCCACAAGCCGCTTGCAGCAGCATCCTTGGATCCCAGGGGATCACTGAGTGGGAAGGGCTGCCGGTGCCTGCTCTCCAACTGTCCTTCACCATGCCATCATGATGATGGCACAGTGTCCAGATGACACAAGGGCGTCCAGATCTGCCACTCGCACAGCCCTGCATCCCAAAGGGATGTCAGAGCAGGTGGGCAGCTGAGCCCTGATCTTGTGGAAAGGGTGTGCTGACGAAGGCCCGAATGAGACATACAAAATAGTTCCTCCCCTTTAGCACAACTCTTGTTCCTTCCACTCTCACTTCACACAGCTCTAAAGCGCCAGTGTAACCCCTTACAAGACCCTCAAGGTCTATTCAGACCCTGAAATTCCCTCAGGCTGGCAGTCTGCCCCTATACACCACAAAGTACCAAAAGGCCGAACCTGCTCCCCTGTAGCTGAGCAGTCTGCCCATTTAATAAAAACATGGAATACTTTGGGTGGGAAGGGATCTTTAAAGGTCATTTTTTTCCAAGCCCCCTGCAGTGAGCGGGGGTATATTGAACTGGATCAGGTTTCTCAGAGCCCTGTTCAACCTGGCCTTAAATGTTTCCAAGGATAAAACATCTACCACCGCTCTAGGCAATCTGTGTCAGTGTTCCACTACCCTTATTGTAAAGAGTTTCTTTGCTGAATCTAGACTGAATATCCATCTGTTTTGTTTAAAACCACTCCCGTTGCCCTATCGCTACAGGAAAGCACACTTCCCTTGCTGATGAGACTTCAGGAAAAGTCTGCTTGCTGGGTGGAAGCCATCACTAAGCCCCAGCCCTCTCTTCCACGACCCCTGCTGGTGTCCAGAACATGTGACCGTGCATTTTCATATTTCCACTGATTCCCTCAGGTTGAGCCTTGATAAGCATCGCACATGCAGGAGGCTGGAGCTGGCAGATCAGGAGACTGCAGGAATCATGGGTGTGGCCACAGAGACATGGGAGGTTTCCTCTGCCTGTATGAGGTTGTCCTGGGTGCGCACACGGATTTCCAGGGTGAAATCCATTGTTTATGCTGGGATTCAGCTCAGCCACACCAAGTAATACAGCCTGACAAGCTTCACCTGCTTCCCCTCCCACCGTCCAGACAGCGAACCCCAGCCCTGCCTCAGCAGGGATGTCTGTTTCAGAGAGGACAAGGCTTGACAGTATCTAGTACACTCTCTTGTCCTCTGCAAAGGATTTTAGGTAAGGACAGCTTTTTTTTTTTTTTTCCCCATTTATAGTTTCACTCATTGACAACGGACAGAGATCCATGAGATTAATTTCATGGATTCCTCCAAACAACTGTGACTCAGTAGCAACTTTCAAGTGCTCTCAACCTGGTTGCACCTGAGTAAGTGTCCTGGAGGCCTGATTTGCTTTCTTCCCATCTACCTGGGTATTTCAAACATGCCTGAATCGCTTTATTTCCATCCACCTGGGTATTTCAAACACGCTACCACCACAGCATCTCCATCTCAGTTTATCTCCACATCTTATTGCATATTCCCAAATGACGTTGAATAATGTGCCTGCGATATTACTTTTTAAGTAACCTTAATTGTCTGATTTTGATTTGTGTTTAAATTGCACTTTTCCCTGCAGCCTGAGAGGTATCAGAATTATACACAGAGGATTTTGTTGGAAAATGTTTCTGTATACTCCTTCGGTGAGCATTCCTGTTGGAAGGTATATGCACGAGGGGGCAGAATTAAAGCTTCTGGGGAAAGATCAACCTCTGAGTTTCCTGAGGTTTATGAAATTAAACCCTCACATTTAACATTGCACTAAAAGAGAGCTGTCAGGTTCTATTTCACATATGATGTTGTTTTTGTGAAAAGTGCTTTTTACAAAACATATGGCCAAAGTAATTGTTTGAGGTTGGGAGGGTAGGAGTGGGAAGAGGGAGTTATTCCAGGGAAAATATGTCTTTTGAACAGCCCTGACCTGAAGAATTTGTAGCTGTCAGTTAATGTATGTAAATGAAGCTGAGTTCAGGGCAGCGATATTTGCTCTTCTGTTTTCTTTGCCAGGAGGGAAGGAAGCAAAGGGAAGTAGGCTGCTCAGAGGAAAGCATGATGCAATGCCTCAGCACAAGTCATGGACACCTTCCATGGCTCCAGATCCACCTCAAGCTGGGCTGAACAACCACAGCCCAACTGGTGAAGGCCTGTTTGCACATGGGTGCATTTAATGAGCAACACACTCTGTTCATTACATGCCTTCTCTTTAAATCATAAAAGACTTCATGAAGGCTTTTCCTTTCCAAACATATGTAGATTGGTTGCTCCCCTTTAAGGTGGCTTTTGTGTGCACACCAGAGAGAAATGCTCAGTCAGGCTGAAGCTCGGGGCTGACATCAGTGGGAGCTTTCGTTAATTGAATTACTGTTTTGTGGCAGAATGTTTTAAAAATAAGCGGAAATGTCCCACATACTTTTTTGGCTGAGAGATCAAATGTATCCAAAGGAATTCAATAATATTCCTACATCTGTGAGTCCTGCCTGTCCCTGGAGGAAAAAAAAAAAGTCAAAATCAATCTCCACCATTGTTTGTGTTCATTATATTCCCTTATCGTCTTTTTGGCTCGTGGGCAGCAGGGGGGAACTAGCAGAGTTCCTTGGGCCTCAAATGGAAACATATAGAGTCATATGCATATCACAAGAGCAGGAAGGACAGTATTAGAAGAAAAGACTCTCCACTATTCATCTGAATAAGAGCCATGATTTGCTTTGAAGGCATTCACCTCCCCCATTGCTTGCTTTTTTTCTGAATACTTATCGTGGCAGAATCCAGGCTGAAAAGGTGCAGGTAAAAAAGGAAAGCGCGAGGTGAGATTCTTTGAACCAGCATTCACATGCAGAGCCACATGTGGATATGAATTTTCAGGCAAGTGTATCTCTAGATACATATTGGCAGGCAAATCCCAAAGCAAGTACTTGCACTTATATGAACTGATGAGGATTTATCTAGGAATTTACTGGCAAAAGAACACTCATGTGAGCACTTATTCTGATAAACCCTACCAGGGAAATACTTGTTCACAGGCATGTCCACAAATGCATTAGCTGGAAATTCATATGTAAATACCAGTGCTACAATCCCTTCATGTACGCCTGGGGAGGGAAGGTGTCTGCATGTACAGGTAAGGAAAGCGAGCAACAAGCAAATAAAGATGCAAATATGAGAGGATATGAAAATGACATTTGACATTTATGCAAATGAATTTGGGTCCTCGTGCAATGTCTGTGTGTGTGACCTGGGGTGCTGGTGAGACCACACACGCAAACAAATTTGGACAGGGCTTTCCTGTGACAGACACACATGCATTTTGGCAATGTGGTAAAATATTAGCACATACCCATTTTCCTGGCCAATGTTCAGGCAGTCAGGTATTAACTGGTGGCATAGGAAAGCAAGAACTTGCCAGCCAGATGATGGCTGGCTGCCTGGAAATCTTTCAGGAGTCCTCCTTGAGGGAAGGAGGAGCAAACTCACACATCTCACACCCAAAGAGAAACAGCCCTAGCTCAGACCTACACTAAACTCATAGAGAAAGAAGCCAGGTGGAACCAGCTTGCCAATTCCTGATCTTGGGATGTCAAAGTGAAAAACAGGAATGGCGTTAAATCCCTTTGGATATATTTGACCTTCTCCACCAGAAAAAATGTACTGGACATTTCAGCTTATTTTTTAAACATTCTGCCACTAAACAGCTAAATCTCCCTCTGACATCATCTCCCAGCTTCAGTGTCAGGTCAAGTTTTATTTAAACTGCCTTAAATGGACATTGCCAAGCTGGAAAGAAAAATAATTATATGAAACAACTCATACCTTAAAAGCAGAGAGCTGCCCACCCCATGCCCCTAGAACAGACTCTCCTGAACTGCTGCCTTGCACAGTGGTATTTATCAAGGAACTAGGGAGGTGAATGCCCTCTGTCAGAAGGCTCCACTGCAGACAAACCACACTAGCCAGTGCCAGTCTTCCCGCTGAACGTAAGGGCTTCAAGCAGCTGCAAATAGCTCATCACTGGTCACAGCTGGTAGCTGATTTTTTAAAGCCATCATGTACTGCCTGCCTGCAGAGGCAAGTGACCTGTACAGCTGCAGAAGAACCAGCATGGCCCCGTCTGCCAGCACTGCCACCTCCTTGTGAGCATCCAGTCCTTTTGGAGTCCCGTGCTGCAAGGAAAAGCTGCTTGTGGTGGGATCAGTTGGAAGAGGGAGACGGTGGTGGGGACAGGAAAGGGTGCTGTCAGGATCTGGCTTTGGGATAACCTTCCTCCTCACGCTGTCTTCATTTATCTCCCTCCTTCCGTGCAGCTCTGCGATCCAACACATTGTAAGCAGCCCCTGCACCCACCTCAGTTTTCTCCACGTGCCTGGAGGACTGCAGACTGCAAACACACCTTTCCTATCATCAAACACACACCACTCCACACAACCCATGTGAAAACAGCCAGCCAGGCTCCCCAGATGTGAGCTCAGGGAGTTATAAAAAGGTAGATGTGTTTTTCAGGAACACGAGCAGCCCAGCTGAGCAGAACTTCAAGGGGGCCACTTCTTGCTCCCTTTCGTTTCCACTCCAAAGAGCACATGAATGATGTCCAGTGGGAACGAGCTAGCCAAGAAAAATGCAGCTGAATGGCTGTCGTAGGGGCTGTGTGCTTCATGCCATAAAACCGGAGTGGAGGAGCCGTGTGAGAAGCTAAGACCCTCACGCACAGGCCATAATGTTCTTTTCTGCTTTGAAGTGGATTTAGGGCTGGCTCAGCCTCCCTGGGGGCTGAGGGCTGCTGCTTATCCATGCAACCTAGCAGCAGCAATAAGCAGCTGAATGTCCTTGAGCCTCTTCTTTTACAGAGAGCAGAGATTGCTCCACATCCCTCTTCCTCCAAAGCAGTGGCTGCAATCAAGGAATTGCAGGATGGATTATCATGACAAACTTACTCCCCTCTCTCTGAAAGTTTTGGACTTGAGCACTGCCACTCTGGGGTCTGTTAGCATCTCCTCATTCTGACCCCACTGTCATGGTGAGAAATGCCTTGCAGGGCACCCTGGATAGGAGCTGGGTACTCTGTGTCCTCTCTACAGCTTGTGTCCGGGGAGAGGTCTTCTGGTGAGCATTCTCCAGCTTTTTGAAGAGAGGTGGATGCTGTCTGGATCCCTTGGGTTTTGCCAGCTTTACTCAGCATATACCTGCCTTCCATTTTTCCAATATATAGGGCAATTCTGGGGATTTTCCTTCTCTTCTCTTCCTAAGAAACCCAGATGTTCAGCTGTGGATGGACCCAGGCTAACTCTCTTCTCCAGAATCCCAATCAGCAAGGTCCATCTCCAATTTTTGGATGGTCAGACTTGTCCAGCTGCCCTGGGGAATCGTGGCAGAGAGCAAAAGCTCTGGTCGGGGCTCATAAGAACTGCTCCGAACTGTCCGCTCTAACCATTGAGCATGATTGCTGGGATGATTTGTAGGACCTTGTCACAGGCCAAGAAATGCTGGTATTTGGATACCATGGCAGAGCTTATCCCTTGGGGCTTTCTTTCTGACCCCTTGTCTCTCCCAGTCAGAGGCTGACTAGGGTACATCTGGACCAGGGTAGATGTAAAACCCTGTGGTTATTTGAAAACTCACTTGTGGAGAAAGGGGGTTTTGTAAGAAATGCAGCTCTGGATGTTTGGGTTACTTGCTTCACTGCAAGCTACTGCTTCACAGCTGCCTCACGTAGAGTGGTCACCACAGCACACATCCAGGGCTCAGAAGCTAAATCCTGCTTTGGCCATGAAAGCCAACCACGTATTCCTACAGCCCTCCTGGGGGGCTGCAAGCACAAGTAGCTACTAATGTGTGGCTTTTCTCCACCAGATGCAGCTACCTGAAAGCTCAGCATCTAATTTACACTTGTCATCTGGTATATCTCCTGTTTGTGGAACACTTTTTGATGCAGATTCACCCTGTCTGTCGAACACTCTGGTATGAAGAAGAAATTATTTTTCTCATTGCCTGGAGGTATCTGTTTCTCTTCACTGCCTGTGAAAGGAACAGACAGCAGCTACAGTGTAGATCAGAACCATAGCTCTAACACAGCCAAAAATAAGTAGGATGAGTCCTGCCCTCTGTGTCAGATAGGAGGTCACCCCTGTATCATGTTGCATGCCCTTTCTCACTGTCTATAAAGAGAAGATTTTGATGGTTCTGGTACACTCAAATCTCAGGTGTTACACTAGGTGTCTGGGAGTGACAGAGGAAGAGGAGACAAAACTGAGATTTTCAATAAGTTTTCTAGGATACAAGGTTACTAAATTTATGGCCAGTCTCAGAGTTCCCCACACCTCCCATATTTGCCTCCTGGCAGAGGCGTGGCTGGATATAAATTGTACCCACCACTCAACCATTATGGTTTGCAACATACTATTTCATTAATGACCACCCAGGATCATTTCAGCTTAAAAAATCTTAAAAAATCTTCTCTAGTCACTGAAGCTAATCTAGAGGAGTCACCCATGCCATACCTGTTCTGCTTCATTTGCAGTGGAAATCCTGATGCTCAGCTCCACACAGCGAGCACAGGCTGCCTGCAAACCAGACTCTGCAGCAGAAAAGCCAGTACTCATGTCCATGACCTTCTTCCCAGTCAGATCTGCTGGATATCTCTTTGTTTTATTAAGGAGAGCAGAGATTGTTGAGAACAATTAAAAGAGTTGCTGTAGGAACAAACAATGCATGTGCAGACCTGTAGTGGTCCTTCAGGTGCTGTGCAGAAATTAGTCAGAGCCCAAGAAGCATTTTTTCAATCAATTATGGTAGTTTAAAACAAAATCTTGGTTCCCTACATATACCTACCATAGTTCATCTCTCAAGTGCATGTATTAGATACATTCAGATGGGTTGTCTAGGTTGATAACAGACTTGGGGGATGACCTCAGGTTGAACTGCAGGGAAAAGAAATTGTTTCCTCATTAATATCTCTGCAAAATAAATGTCAACTGGAAAAACAGTTTCTGTGTAATCAATCTTGGTTCATAGACATTGTGCTCTGACAATTCCTCTCATGGAAAGGAATATATTTCCCATAGATCTGTAGTGTTTCATACATTATAGCTTTCATAATATCAAAAGCCAGTGCT